CTAGCCTATCCATGAACACCCTCACCGATGGGGCCTCAACCACCTCCCGTGGAAGCCCATTCCACACCCTCGGGGTCCTAACTGTCAGGAAGTGCTTCCTGGCATCTGAATGGAACCTGGGTTCCCTGAGCTTTGCTCCACTGGAGCGCGTCCTGCCTTCCTCTGCAGGGGAGAACAGGTCTCTATCCACCTCCGTGTGACACCCCCTCACATACCTGCATGTCACCACAGATCCCTCTGAGTCTCCTCTTCTCCAGGCTGAAGAGACCCAGTTCCCTCAGTCTCGCCTCATACCCCATCCCCTGCAAACCGGCCACCAACCTTGTGGCCCTACGCTGCACTGACTCCAACCTGGCTATATCCTGCCTGTAATGAGGGGCCCAAAACTGAGCACAATACTCCAGTTGCGGGCGCACCAGAGTCGTGTAGAGTGGTAGGAATTTAGCATCTGTGCCTGTTCCCTCCTATCAGTCACTGGATCCTCCTTATTTAGCGGTCCAACTAATTGTCTCCCCTTCCTCTTGCTATTTACATGCTGAAAGAAGCCCTTTTTGTTGCTCTTGATATTCTTGGCAAGTCTCAGCTGGTAATCAGCCTTAGCCTTGCGAAGTATCCTTCTGCAACGGGCCTCCTCCTCCCGGTATACCCTTTTGTCTATTTGACCCAGTACCCATTTCCTACGGAGGTTCCTCTTTTGTCTAATCCCTTTAACCACCTCCTTTCGCATCCATGGCGGTGCTCTCCTCCGCCTCCCCACCTTACTGACTAGAGGTATCGCCAACCTTGCGCCTCCAGAACCTCCCTTTTGCGTGCCATCCACCCCTCCTCATCTCGCTTGCCTTCCAGTAACCCATCCCAGGAGACTTCCCCCAGTCTGGCCTTCAGTTGGCCAATTTACTTTTATGCTCAATTAAATCACAAATTGCAAGACAGAGAGGGAGGGAGGGAGGGAGGGAGGGAGGAGGAGGAAGAGCCGCTGTTGCGCAAGCAGGAAAAGTCCGAGGGCGTCCTCTCTCTCATACACACAGTCCCAACACCCAGCTGTTCTGTGCATCATGCCTTGAAATCGCCCGTTAGAAGCAGCCAGAGAGGCGAGAAGACCGTAAGGCTTTACGTCACGCACCTGCAGCCATTTCCACAGCCTGCTCTCCTTCCGTGGATTTCCGACCTGCAGCGATTCAGGCTGGTGGTCGGGACGCTCACGATGAAGACGGAAGTACTCATATAGCCGGCTGGTCCACTGGCCCAGAGACCGGATATGCAGCCAGATGGTCCCTTTGGAAAGACAGCGCAGCGCGTCCAGTTCAGCTCTGCCTCCTGGCCAGACCTGCACCCTCGGCTTCGAGCGAACTACCTCACAGGAGGAAACGGACTGAGGCCACAACCCCCAAATCGGCGGGCTGGCTCCCACGACCACCCTGCAGTAGCTTTTGGGTGGGCTCCCAACCTTCTCCCAGGGCCCAAGTTGGGATGGGGGAAAATCCATGGACAATAAAAAGGCTCCTGAGCTTTTCAGACCTCTGTTTCCATCGTCTTGATCTTGCCGGGAGACGCAGTGGAGCCAAGTGTCAGCTCCACAGCCCGCACAAGCCCCGCCGAAATCCAGCCCGGCCGGGATGCCCACTCCCTCCAACCCGTCCGCTTCCTTCCGCCTCCTTGGCAGGTGGCCGAAACTGGCCGTCACCTCTCCGGGCGCCTCAAGGTGAGGCCGCCCACCTACCCGACTGCTCCGGGGCGCTGCTGATGGTGAATGGGTGCCACTCGTACTTTGCAATGGCTGGGATGTTCAGGTAGACGTAGTCGCCAGGCCTATAGTGGAAAGACGGGGGTCTCCCAATCACCAGATGAGTCACCTGGATTGTCAAGAGAAGCCCACGCATGTGAGGAGGGAACCTGTCCTCCCGATCCAACCTCGCTCGAACCCCCAGCTCTTCCCCTCATTTCTGCCCTCCTCAGCAAAGCACCGACGTTTAGGCATCTTTCCCGTCACCTCCTCGGTTTGGGGACAAACCTTTGAAGGCAAGAGGTTGGTTTCCACTATGTAGAGCCCTCCCACATGAGACAGCAGCACACCAACAATCTTCTCCAGGAGAAACAAGCACCCAGGTGCTACAAGCCACTTCCAAAAGTTAGGACCATGGACAATTAATAAAGCCCAAATGAGAATGTAGGAAAGATGAGTCCAGTAGAAGACCTGCTGGTTACAAAGAAGGGCATATTACTGTGGGAATCAAGAAGCAACTGACTGGGAATTAAAATCTAAATATCCAGACAACCTGTTTTGATCATGTGAAGTGGAGGAGCTAAAGCAAAATAGGATATGCACCAGTAGGAATCATACAGTCTCTTGACAGAGATGGAGGTGGGTCGGGACCAGTGGAGGGCAGGATGCGCTCCAATGGAGCCAAGCTCAGGGAGCCAAGGTTCCATTCGGATGCCAGGAAGCACTTCCTGACAGTCAGGACCTCGAGGGTGTGGAATGGGCTTCCACGGGAGGTGGTTGAGGCCCATCGGTGCGGGTGTTCAAGGACAGGCTGGACGTGCACATGGTGGGCATGTCGTGAGCGGAGCCGGCTGGAGCTGGGGTCAGACTAGATGGCCCGGGAGGCCCCTTCTGACTCGCTCTGCTTCTATGAAAAGGCTTCCTCTGAGCCGAAATGTACAGGAGGGTGCTGCCTTCCGTGGAATCCTTGGGGCACCAGAGCTCCTGCTGAGTCTGCCAGGATAGCTTCACTCTGCAGGCGCGTCCTCAAGGCTCAGGGCATGTGAGCAGAGTGCATGCTGCTTCCGTCGGGGAAGAAAGGGACTCTGCACATGCCCGGAGACTTGGATCTATGTTGCCACCGCAGGGCCACCAAGACAGGGGCCCACAGAGGGGGTCCCCCAGGCCAGCGGAGCGAGGCTCAGCCCAGCGGCCTCACCTCAAAATGGCCGCTCCTGCGCACAAAAGTGCTGGAGCACAGGAGCACGAGGCCGACGAGGAGCTGGAGCGCGAGGCCCGTGAGGGAGGCCGTGCCGTGAACCCAGCCGATGCCGGGCCGCGTGGTGAGCAGGTACTCCCAGAGGGAACGGCCATCCTCAGCCCGAGAGCTTCTCACTGGAGAAGAGAGAAACGTCGGAGTGAGAACAGAGCAGCTCCCGCGTGGGACGATTCCGCACTGAGGCTTGAGCCGCAGCGCTCGCGGGTGAAGCGGAGTTTGTAGGGTCGGACATTCGTTCCCTCCCAGAGACGGCCGTCGGACCCTGAACCAGATTCTTGGGGGTTCAGCCGGGCCTTTCCCAGCGACAGGGTTTTCTCCATTCGCTCCATGTGAGCTGTGATTCCCCTTCCTTGCAGCTGGGAGGGGGCTCTTTTCCCTGTCCCTGTCCATGGGCTCGGCAGAGGCGGGTGGGCAAGGCAGAGCTTGGGCGTGCCCCCTCCTCTTCAGACACCCTTTACATTTCCAAATGGAAGCCCTTCTTAATTTAAGCACTATTGGACCACGACTGCAATCCCATTACAGAACCACCGGACATATTTCAGCACAATTAGACTGTTGGGTGCGAGGAGGAACGTGGCGATAAAATGGCACCGGCCAGAAAAACCCCGACAGGGGGCATGACACCCCCTGGGGGCGCCTCATAAGAAGGGGGCAGATGGCACAAGCCACTGTGGCTGATGCAGGACCGCTGCAAGATTCCTAACAGGCCCGGGTGTTCGCACAGGGCAGGCACGACAAGGTGCCAACAAACGAATGAACGACGGGAGGGAGAAGCCTGCTAGCGGGTCCCACAGCTGGGAAATGCCCCTTTCCCAGGGGTCACCTGGCCTGCTTCATTTTCCTCCTGATGCCAGGCAGTCATTTCCTGAGCTTTTTGAGAGCAACTTTAATCCTTCCGGCTGTTTTAACACTATTAGAATTTTGTGGGTTTTCACTCGTTATTCTTAGAGTTTGCATTTTCACGGTTTCATCCCCTTTGCAAATTGCTCTGGCACTATGCCTGGAGGCCTGCGTACAGTACACGTAAGATGCATAGATGGCAGTCACCGAAGTTGGCCACGTGGGCCCCGGAGTGAGCCACGGCGAGCACCGCCATGGCGTAGCCCATCAGCTGGTGCAGGGCGACATGCTGGTCCAGGGGCAGGATTCTGGCCACCCACGTGGCTCGGAGCCACGTCAGACACCGACGCAGCATCAGCACCTTGGAGGGAGACGGAAATCGTGGCATCATTTATTTGGGGAGCCGGCCTCTGCGTGAGCTCGGGTGCCTCAGAAGCCGAACCAGGGCAGTTTAGCAGCAGCTCAGCTCGGGCTGCATCCTGTCCAGGTTCTTGCTATTTCTCTCTGCACTTCAGGGTGCCTGCCCTGCTCCACCATGCCTGACTCCAAGGGTGGCGTGGCTTTAAAGACAAGACACTCCAACAGGGCCCCAGCCCCTGCGCAAAACCAGAGGGTGGCTGCCGCGGTGAGGACAGCCGGTTCCCCGTTGTGGCCATTGGCAGAGGGAATGACTCGAGGCCCAGTTTTCGCCTGTGGTGAGACTCAGGTCTGCTTCTGATCACTTCTGAATAGCTTTATGCAATTAGGCCCCTGGGACCTTCAGAGCAATACTGTCTGCACTGACCGGCAGCAGCTCCCCAGGTTCTCAGGGCTGCATTTTCCTACGATTCTTGCGAGATGCACAGGATGCCCTGCATGCAAAGCACTTTCTCCTCTTCTCCCCTGGGAGTGAAACGGGGAGAAATGATTGTCTCCCTACATGGTGACTAGCAATGACACGAGGTGGAAGGAAATCCCGCAAAACCAGAGAAAGTGGTCCTTGCTCCGGAGTATCTTTTTCCAGTCCATGACCATGGAGCAAACTTGCTCCTCCTCAGCACTTCCTTTTGATTTGGGGAGTGGGGCGGCCCTCTTTTTAACAGGCCTGTCCTGCAAACCCTGAGGGACCTTCGTGGTCCTAACCCTGCAGCACTCCTCAGACGCCGAGGGAGCGGCTCTCCGCGCCTCACAGAACGGTGCAGAATCAGTGTTGCTCCTTCTGCCCACTCACCACGATGAAAGCACAGTTGAAGTTCAGGCACTGCCCGCACGCCCTGGCCAGCGGCACCCACGGGCCCGATCTGGCGTGCCGCAGGGCCGCCGAGGCGAAGAGCGCGACGTTCAGGCACGCGTAGCCAGCCAGGAAGAGCAGCTCGCTGCGGTGGTTGTGCCAGTAGGCCGGGCTCAGGCGGCGCGGCACACGGCGCGGCCCCGGAGCCGCGGGAGGGCTCAGCCAGCTGGCAGCGCTGCGGGAGGGGAGAGAGGAGCTGTGAGGGGCCTGTGGGGCTCGCGGCGGCAGCGGGGGGCAGAAGCCGGTGGGGGGCCCGGCAGCCCCGAAGCGGGGGCGCAGAGGAGGCCCCTGAGCTTTACCTGCTGGGTGGCCGGGGAGAAAACCTGGGAGCCCCACGCCCAGCGTTTCCAGTGGTTTCGCGGGGGGCCTGTGGGCATTCCGGGGCTGCAAACTGGGATGAGGGACTGCCCTGCGAGGCGGACCCGGCACGAGGCTGCTTTGGGCTCTTTGGAGGGGAGGAAAAGCAGACTATAGTGGAATAAATGCGAAGGAGCACACAGCTGCATCTCTGCCTCAGGGGATCTAGCTTTAATCGATGGGAGCCTGTTAAAGGATCGCCTAAGCCAGGGGTCCTCAAGCTTTTTAACCAGGGGCCAGCGGAAAGGTGCCGGCAGTGCGCGCGGGCCGGAAAGGTGGTGCTGGCAGTGTGCGCGGGCCGGTGAGGGGTGCATGCGGGGGCGGCGTGTGCGGGGCACGCAGCAAGGCGAGGCACGCGTGGCGAGGGGCAGGGGGGCAGGGGGGTGGGTGTGCGCCGCAAGGCGGGCGCATGAGGCAGCGGCTGGCTCGCTTGGGGATCGTTTTCTCCGCACGAGCAAACCGCTGCCTCCCCACGTGCAGGGCGAGGTGGGTGGAGGCAGGTGCACGGCAGGTCCAAATGGGCATGGTGAGCCGGATCCGGCCCCGGGTCGTAGTTTGAAGACTCATGGCCTGAGCTCCCCCACAAGGCAAGAAAGGTTTAATTCACCTATTAGGGGATCAGCAGAAAGTCATCTTGCTAAGCAAGCCTGTTGTGCTAAGCTTGATAAGTATTTGATGATTTTGCCAACACCATTCTAAGACATGACCTGCTTAAGCAGGAGATTATTCATTCAGTGTTGTGATGGAGGATTTAGGTCCGATTATGCAGTTCACTTTATTATGCAAGATCACTTCTGCTCTTCATTTTAGTAACGGTAACTAATGTCAACAGTTGCTATGATCATCCATGATTTTCTGAGATTGCAAGAGATCCCATCTGTGGATGGCGGGCCAAACCTGCCCCCCAGGGGGCTCGGCCAAAGCCAGCCCTGCCGGGGTTGATGCATGCACACATTCTGAGAATTCTGCAAAACACTAGTCCGTGTGCTTCAGCGTGGGCTCCAGCTGAAGTCACGGGATGGCCTGCTGGGACAGGCGCCCCTCCCTTAGCCTGCCTCGCGGGGGGATGCGGCAGCGCTTCGAGGGAGAACCTGAGGCTTGCAGAACATGGGGAAGCCCAGGAGGACACGGGAGACTCACCTTATGGTCAGGTTCTCCAAGATTTCTGGGAAGTGCTCTAGTTCATCTCTGAGCTCCTCAAAGGTGATGGAGCCGCTCTTGTCAGCGTCGGCCGACTCAAAGAGAGCAAGGGTGAGGTCATCTAGCGTCTGTTCTGGCAAGGATATGGAGCTCTCTGTCAGGCACGATTTTAAGACAGTGCGCAGCTCGCCCTTTTCGATGGAGCCGCTGCCTGGAAGAGAAGAGGAATTCTGGAACAGCTGGCAGATGAAATATTAGGAACGTTACGGCTCCGGCCCAGCAGTCCTTATGACCCGTTCACAACCCCCGGTTGTGTATTAAAGCCACACTCTGCAGGACCCCTGAGGCCTTGGCCCTGGAGAGCTGTCCGTGGGCGTGTTTAGCCCCCTGGGATCTCCCAGCCAGCCAGCCAGCAGATAGGTGCCCAAGCAACTTCCGCAGGCCGGCAAAAGTCACGTCCCCAGAGAGGACTGGGGCCCTGGAGAGGCAGCGGGGCGAACCGTCCCCTTCCTTTTGCCACCTGCATCATTTCCGGAGGTTTGTCATGGCGAGTCGGCACTAGATGCTGCTGGTGCTAGAGCTGGAAATGAACCCTGTGCACACGGGAAAGAGGCGTGCCTCGAAGGTCTGTCGGCGTTGCACGGGGCTGAAGGTGCAGGACTCCCCGTGGGAAACCGGACGTGGCCCTCCTACCGCGTGCTCCAAGGCAGAGCCCAGGGAGCGGCCACTGTCGTCGCCCAGCGCTCTGCAGCAGAGGAGCTGAGAAGCCGAGGCTTGCTTGCCGGGAGATGGGGAGACCACTGCCCTCTTTGGGATCTTACCATCCACGTCGTAAACCTGGAAGAGGAACTGCAGTTTTTCCGTTTCGCTTCCATAGATCAGCAGCTTCAGGGCCTTGAGAAGCTCGCCCAGACTGATGGTGCCACTCCCGTCTGAGTCGAACAAGGCGAAGAACCGCTCAGCGAAAAAGGACTGAAGGAGAGAGGAGGAGAACATGCACAGAACTTTGCTCCAGTCGTGGAATTCAGACCCTCGAGTTCCCGTTGGGCTGCCTTTTCACTCAGCCTGCCTTTAATACCACGCGAGAGGAAGAGAGGAAGTGGTGGATCTCCGAATATTATTCAAGGAGGGACTGGCAAAACCAGTGTGGCTGGCAAGGCAGATCAGTCATGTCCCACCCCCCTGCCCACCCGCATCGCTTCTCTGCCTCTCCCATCTCGCTTTCTTCCCAGGCAAATTCTTCCACAAGGAGGGGCCAATGCCAAACACCTTTGCAACCTTTGCTTCACCCAGGTTCTTCTAAGCAAAAGCAGAGCTGAGCTCTCCGCTGGGCCCAGCCGGCTGTCCTACAAAGCTCACCTCCTTCACCTTGAGAGCAACTTTGAACTCCTCCAGGTCGATCCCTTTATCATCGCCAGCGATGCTCTCGAACTGCTTGCTCACCCACCGAAGCCATTCGGCGTTGTCACTGACATCCATGCGCCTGTGAAATCAGGGACAGGAAGAGCGTGTGGGGAGCTTTTCTGCAGTCCCCTTCAGCTGCCCTTGGAAACAGCCGGACGGGCAGCGGCGGGACAACCGGGCCGAGGCCAAGCGGACTCCCACCCCGCGTGTTCCCATCTCCACTGGCTTCCGCTCCATCCCCAGGCCCAATTCAATTTCGGCTGTTAGTCTTGGGAAGGAGCGGCCTCTTCCTCCAACACCCTCCTTAAGCAGAGCTTCTCCCACTCTCCATGCTGGGCATCTCCTAGCAAAAGTGCTCTTCACTGCCGGCAACTTGGTCGCAGAATCCACCCTCCGGGGAGACCTGCGGGTGGTCCTTCCTGCCCCGGCCATTTCAGCTCTAAACTCTGTTCCAATGCTCCTGTTTTGTTTCCTGTTGCTTCTGTTCTAGGCTGCACTCTATTCGGACTTCTTCTTTTATTGTCCATGGATTTTAGTCTGCTTTATTTTTTGCTCCAAGTCACCGGAAGCAAGTTTTGTCTGAGAACTGCCAAGGGGACGATGAATAAAATGAACCAATGCTGAATGCTGGGGGATACAATGGGGCTTCCTGGAGGCTCTGTCTGTAGAGAAAATGGGAAAGGGCCACACAAAGAGTCCCAAGGGGCCCCCCACAGACAGAGAGGGACAGCCAGGGAGGTCTTCCCCATGAAGACCCGGTAGATGGCCTTCTGGCTAGTGATGGAGCTGGGAGATGGGGGACTGCCCAGCTGCAGATGGCTCAAGAGGCGCCCTCACGCGGGATTGTTCTCAGGGGCCGTACCTGCGCTTGCTGCCAAATGCTCTTTGGCGGCTTGTCGCAGGAGTCCCACGCACCCTTCCTGCTGGACGCTAGCGCTGCAAAGAAGCCGCAGCCCGAGGATGCCACGATGTCACAGCGGAGGCTGGAGCCCGTTGGGCGGAAGCTCCGCCTCGTTCGGAATCAAGCTTGCCCGTTCCGGACTTCTCGGCAGCCTCCCCGGGAGCCCTGCAGGCTGGAGAACAGGTGCCTGGGCTGGGCCGTGTCTGCCCAGCCCCAGCTTCTGGAGCCACCCCCAAAGAGGGCTGGAACCCCTGCAGCGTACCACCCCGTTCCCAGCTCAGTGCCCCCAGAAGGGCCCCAGCGCCAAATGTCTGGCGAACCGCCGAGAGACCCGGGGAACCAGCAAGGTCCCTCACCGACCCCCTCCTGCCACAGGCTATCTTCCCGGGCAACCGTGGCTGTTTCCGTTGAACGACTCAGCCTGCACCAGGTGAAGGGATCTCGATCGCTGGTCTCGCCCCAGGGGCGGTGGAGCTGGCCGGCCGGCAAGCAGCCGCTCGAGGACTTTGTCCAGGATGGGACGTTCCCGCGGAGACGATGCCCTGCTCTCTCCTGTGGGAGATGCTTTCTGCCAGGCACCAGCATGGCGTCTCCCTGGGACTAATTTGAGTCTTGCTTCCGCTTCCTGCATTTGGCAGCTTAAGTGGGCTTTATAATGTTAAGCTTCACAATGTCATTGTAGTTTTGAATCGCTTTTAACTGTTCTAGATGCTTGCATGTTAACAATTTTCTATTATCTTTTAGTGTATTGTGAACGACCCAGAGCGCCTTGACCACTGGGAGGAATGGAAATGTGATGGAAATACTGTTGTATTTATACTCCTTTATATTTATATTCCTTTGTCTTCCTCCATGCCCCGAGCTCTGGAAAGGCGGGACTGTGTCCTCCCCGGTACAATTGGAGCCACGAGAGGCCTTTGGCGAGCTTTCCGAGCTGCCGGGAGCACACAAGGGTCTCTTTCAGGCACAATCTTTCCATTCATCTTGGAGCCAACCCGCTTGCGAGGAGACAAACCCCGGGGGATTTGCTCCTCCGAGGCGGAGGGTGGGGTGGCCGTGCGGATGTCAAAACCAGGTGGCCGAGAGGCACCGCTTCTCCATAGCACGTGGTGGAGAGCATGCCTTCCTCTTGCTCGGCCCGCTGCTGGGGCGGCGGGGGGGAGGGAGGCACACGGCACGCCGGGGGCCGGAGGGAGATGCTTCGCAGGCAGACGTGCCAGCGCGAGCGCCGTCCCTCGGCTGTCATTTGAGGGAAGGGGCACGACTCAAGGGAGTGATCCTACGAGCAGCCTTCCCTTGACCCGGCCTGGCCAAAGCAGCCGGCTCCGCTTTGGGGGTACCCCTTGCGTGACCCCATGGCCCAAGCCATGCTTCCCTTGCTCCGACGAACTCCACCAAGTGCTCCATAGGCGCTTCCCACGAAAAGCCTCCGAGGAAGAGCTGCCTGGCCTTCCCTGCCCACAGCCGCCCCGTCCTTCCTACGAGGCAGGAGAGGCCTCGTGGTAGGTTCCCCCACAAAGCATGCCTTGGATGGCCCCGTGCCACAGAAACCGCTGCAGACCGCCACGTGGGGAAGAGGCAACCAGGACAGGAAGGAAGGAAGGAAGGAAGGAAGGAAGGAAGGAAGGAAGGTGCAACTCCTATCCCAGGAGCTTCTTCTTCCTAGCTCCTCGGCCTCCTTTCTCCCAGCAGTTACAGGACCTCGTGCTCTAGGAAGAAAGAGGCATTCCCTGGGAGACGTGTGGGACGCGGATCTCAAGAGCGCTTTGTTAGGAGGCAGATGGAGGAGCAGGAGCTTGACAGACTGCAGCCTGTTCAGGGCAGAGGCAGCGGCTTTAGCGGAGCTCCGCAGCCGTGCTGAGGACTACCTGCGTGCCAAAGCAGTCGGAAAGACGGCAGGCGGATTTTCCTTCGGAGAGAGCCGGGGAGCTGCCCTGGTTAAGAGTGCAGGGCTGGTGCCGGGTTCTGCTTCCCACCCGGCCATGGAGCCAGCTGGGTGGCTTTGGGCCAGTTGCAGACTCTCAGCCCAGCCTACCTTGAAGGCTTGTTGCTGTGTGGCTGAGACTGACCATGGGAGGAAGAGAATGATGTGGATTGCTTTGAGTTCTTTGTAAGAAAAACAGTGGAATATAAATGCAATCAAATAAATAAATAAATAGAATTACTTGATTCTGTATGTCCCAGCAACTAGAGCAAATGGCAAACCTGTTTAATCCAATTTGTATTTAATTACCTCATTCAAGTAAATAACAGAACAGGAAGAATGCTTAAAAGGGCCAGACTTACCTGGTTCAAGTTTCACAAAGCCCTCTGCACAAGAATCTGGCCACGCTGGGCCACGGCTGGAAGCAGAGGCTGGGCCGCATGGCTACAGTTTAGCCCGATCCAGCACAGAACACTTCCCTCATCGGGGCCACCCAGCACCCGCTGCCCCGTCCTGCATATTCCGCATCCACGCTTCCCCCAACACCCGTCTTTCCTTGAAGAATCTTCAGCAGTCTCCCTTCCTCAGTTAGCTAAATGACCTTAGCTTAAACACCCACTCAGCAGTAAGTACACCGAAGTCCCATCCAAAAGGAGTGCGGAAATGAAAACAGCATCATTTAAAAATAAGCATTTAATTCCAGCTGCGGAAAGGACTACAGACATATTTCAGTGCTGTTACAAATGAGAAATAGGTAACCTTGAAGAAAAATATCTACACGACTAACGAACAACAGTGTCTTGTTAAAAGACTCTCTTTCCATGCGTAGCTTGTCTTACAAGCTCCATGTCTTCCTTTAGCAGCTGCTTCAGCATCTGCTTACTTCGGCCTTTCGGCTTGCCACAGAAAATACTCTTTATGGCGTCCAGGACCGCCATCGCTCTGTCGACAATATCCTCTGCTACTTTTTTATTGGGTGAGGTTTGTGCGTATGCTGTTAGATGGGGACTAAACCCATACAGCAAGTTAATGAAGGCTTTCAGTTTTCCCATTTCCACCTGCGCTTCTTCGGCCTTTTTTGCGAGAGGCTGCGACGACATCGGGGTCGCCTTGGGCACTGGCGAAGTTGGTGGTGGTGAGGGAGGAATCTTTGGATTCACCTTGTTTTCCTGCTCCCGCTTCTTCTCTGGCATCAGCTTCGACTCTGCTTCCGCCGTGAGTTCCAGCGCGTTTTTGAGAAAGCCCTCTGCTTTCTCGACATACTTGTGGAGAGCCGGGTCTTCTCTCACGGCGGTCGGTGCATTCTTGATGGTTGTGATGAGCGTGTCGATCAGCTCCAAGATGTCCGATCCCACGGTCTTGTGCTGCTGAGCCTCGGCAAGCTTTTTGTCGCTGTGCGCTCCCGGCGGCTCGCTACCGACCTTGTGCAGTGTCATGTGCAGTTTCTTCACGTTCTTGAGTGACTCCACCAGGCTTGCGAAGGCCCCATTGGTCAGCTCATCAAAGCTCTTAGCTTTCGTCGTGGTCACATCGTTGTCCATCAAGAGGGACACGCTAACCAGGGTATCCTCTGGCCTCGTGACGCCCGACTGCAAATCTGACGCCGTGGCCTCACTTTTCAGCTTTTCTGGAGTAGCCTTTTCTGCACTGGTAGTTTCGGAGTGCAAAATGATGGAGGCGTTTGCATCATGCCTGAGTTTCCAAAATGCGGTTGTGGGAGTGGTTCTGGGCAATGTGGCTGTCTGCGAGGACCCCAACTCCACGCCGCTGGTCTTTGGCTTCAAATTTACCCACACCGTGTCAACGGTTTCGGAAGGAGACGGCCTTGCCTGGGGTACTATAATAGTTGGCATTTTCATGGACTGCAGAACATTCGTTTGCTTTGTTGGAATTTTTTTCACCACGTCGTGCAAAAGGTCCACAAGTTCATTTATGGTCTCTTCTTCCTTTTTTGCATCTGGCTTAGTGGACTGAGCAGATTCTGTAAGGAAGGAAGGGTGACCAGGTGAGCCGGCGGGATACACCTTTCTTGCTCATCCATTCTTGTTCTGCACATATAAAAGGGTTCCGGATGGCTGGCCCACATCAGTCTACTCAGGCGTTGTACAGAGTTGCATCACAAAACCTGTTTTCCTGTAGGGCCAAACTGGAGGTGCCTTTAATGGTTCAGTTAGCAACGCTTCCGGGCTTCAAAGAAGCCAAAGCCAGGAAGCTAAAGGACAGGGCCCAGTTTCTCTTTAGGACCAGCGCCGTGCATTCAGGGTTTCAGCCTTCGCTCACCAGCATCACCCCCGATGGGAAGCCGCTCTAGAAAAATAACACCAACACCAGAGGAGCTGCGTTCTCATACTGATTGCCCTGTGCAGGGGCATCTTCCAGAGCCCAAGGGTGTTGAACGCTGGAACACCCCACTCTTAGCTTCCCATGAGCACCAACCGTGGTTGCTAACTGCACAATTAAAGTGATCTTGATTTATCTGTTTATTTCACTTTTATACTGCCCAGTGACCAAAGGCCCTGCATGTGCAGCTCTCTGCCCTGTTCACTGCCTGCAAATAAGAATCAAATTCCGAGTATGAAAAACTCGGGCTGCCGTAAGTCAAACCTGCTAGCAGTAATTTTTCTCCTTTGTTCCATCACAGGGCTGCGAAACTTGGTAACTTTTCATTATTGCTTTTAAAGTCATGTGAAGAGACGCATAGCCAAAACGTGTGAGCATAGCTGAGCCCATGCAGACGGCCGATTTGCACACGGGGGACTTGGCCTGCTGAGAATATCCCTTTTCCCAGAAATTTCACTTGCTCACCTGGCAACTGGGCATTCACACGAACATCTCAGCATCCCTGGTGCCTCCTCCTTGCTTGGGTTGGATCTTCTCCAGGACCCAAAGAGTACTTCCCAATATTCTGTTCCCCTTCTGTCTCCCACATCCTGCTCTGCTTCCTACCACACCTCCTGTCTCCCAACTCGCTGTGCAGGGAGCTGAGTCACACATGTACAGACACCAACGCCCCCCGCAGCTGTGTGCACCCGCACGGGCTGCCGCGTGGGTATCCATGAGAGTTTGGCTTGCCGTGGCTTGTCCCATCATGTGAACCCGGGCCTGCGGTTTAGGCAACCCTCACACAGCTCCTGGGCATAAATTGAGCCACAGCAGCCTGTGAATTCAGTCCTTATAGTCTCATTAATTAGCTACCTGTGGCAATTCTGGATCGTTTTCTCTGTGAAAGAGGCCTGTAAAGCAACTTTGCAGTAGGGAAGCCAGAAGTCGAGGGGATCCGCAAGTGCTTACCCTGGGCTTTTGGGCTGTCCATGGTCTCCGATGAAATATGCAGCGTCGCAGCCGGATGCAGGGATACCTGCAGCAGAAAGAGCAACCCGCGTCACTGCCAAGCGATTCTGCCTTTGCTGTCGCAGCAAGTTCCTTACCGTTTTCTCCTTCCAGGCAAGCCCTCTCCTGTTGCACTGCAAAACACTGACGGCTGCCAGCCCCCACGCGATCCCACTGCTGTGCGCCGGAGCAGCAATACTCTGAAGCACAGGCTTAATCGGCAGATTCACACGGTCCACCTGACTTTGGCCTCCTTTATGCTCAAGATGATGAGCGCTGGGGTTCGATCCCTGTTGAGGGTGAGTTGCAGCGTGCTGCCCACAGCTGTCTCTGGCTGGAGAGACCGGCAGGTGGGATGTTTTCTGGCGGGACCCCAAGAGACCGCATGAGCTGGAGGTACACACCTCCACCGTTGCTGCTGCAACTGAAGGCACACGGCCACAGGGCATCTGTCCAAGGGAGGGTTATCCCAGATTACGGCTGGCAACTGGAAGGAATGGATCCTGCTCATTTGTTTCCCACCTTCTGGAAGCAGTCACCCGGCCCGTGCAAGCATTGCCCACATGGGAACATGCCCAGGCCTCTGGATGTTGGCCAGGATATGTGCGTGGACCCCTACAGAAGGAAGAGGCGGCTGCACCGGCGCTTCTCGCATTTCCTGTCTGTACAAGCAGGCAAAGGAGCTTGCGTTCAGCCCACTGTTTCCAAGCAGGACCAGGGCAGCAATCCAGCTGCAAGCTCCCCTCCCTCCGCCACACCCCTTCCCTGGAAGGACACTGGGGGACACTTGCCGCAGAGCATCCTTGGACCGCGGGAAGACTAGTGAGGAGAAAACGGCAAAGCGCACTTTCTACAGCACTCATCCCTTTGCAGAAAATGGATGTTGCCTTTTGGTTTAGAGCCACATGGAGAAGTCGCTCCAAAACGGGGCAGGACGATGTTTTTGCTTTTTCAACTTAATGGCTGGCATGGAGGGGAAGGCAGCCCGTGTCCAATGGGACCACACGAACCTCTCCAGCTGCAAGCCTGATGACATCCCCGTGGAGCACAGAGCTTTCTCCCGATAGCAGAGGGCACAGTGGAGGTCAATTTTCACTGGGAAAGGTTAAATCTCTCCTCACCATGCACTGCAGTTCCAATGAAAACTGTCCATTCTCGTGCTTCATAATTATAATTATCATTAATTTCCTGATGTACTTTCCAGCAGCGTGGAATCCTGGCTAGTTTGGCCCTCCTTCATTCCCAGTCACATCAACTTCAGAAAGTCAGTAATTTGTCAAATCCTGAAATCAACATTACCTGCATGAGTTTAACATTTTCAATCGTATGTTCTTTACCTAAAAAACAGAGAGGGTTTTTAAAAATCAAAAGGAATCACATAGTATAATACAGGGATTGTAATTCACTTTACAGTTGTAATGTTCACATGGAGTGAATAAACATACATAATGTTTTATATCCGACACTCAGCTTTGGTGAGGTGTAACCTAACAAAGAAACGTTCAGGATTTTTGAGTGTGGTTCAACATAAAGACTGCAAGTTTCCAGTGAGGAAAAGGGTTGTGTCTTTGGCAAACTCTCAAAATGCAGGGTGTGTTTGTACATGAACTTCAGCAGATGCAAACAAGTTTGGTGCGTCTGCCAGACGGACTGGGGTCCATGTTGTTATCCGCCCCCTCCATTGGTCCATGGCCTTCCTGAAAACTCAGTAGAAGGACCCAATTGTCTCTTGATATAACCACGCACCGTTCCAGGCCAGCTGCAGATTTTTTAAACTTACCCAATTTCATAATCCCCATTCCCACAAACAATCCCTAGAAGAAGTCACCTCTTCTTGCTGAACATTTGGCATTTTCCCTAATTCTTGCAAATATTTGAAAAGGGTGGCTATTTTAATGTTAACATACACTGCAGTATCTGGAGTTGCACAGGTGTTGGAAGGGGGAACCCTGGGTGGCAAAGTGGAGGTGCCACCCAGCAGGTTACCTACCTTTGGCCTTTGCCCAGAGGCCGTGGAAGGTTTTGTTTCCCGTTTGGTTCCATTTGACAGCTGTCAAAATGCACATGTTGGTGCAAGTGGGTTTAGCTCATGAAAGATGCATGGCACCTCATTCACCCCCTTTGCAGCAAAAGCCTTGTGCCAACTTCTTAGGAGCTGCACCGTAAGGGTGTCCCTCTTTGGCACTTATTTCTAATATCATACCACCTTGGGAATAACTAAAAGTATGAGCCACGCCATTTATGGGAAAAGCTACTTCTGAGAGTTGTCAAGGGTAGAGTTCTATTTTTAAGTGGGATTTTTAAAGGGTTAAAAAAGATGCAGCACAAATGGGCAACCCCTCCAGGGGGCCGTGGCTGGAGCATTCCGGAGGGGCTGCCCACAGAACTGTTGAGCTGTGTTGAGACCGCGCTGTACAGCCTCCCTCGATACATTCTTGTGGGGTGCAGGCATTGCATCAATCCTTTTTTAAAAATCAGCTGGTATTTTGGCTGCCAGTTGCTATTTTTGTGATCCTTAGAATTTACTGACTTTTTTTAAACAGGGATGAACATAATTAATAGCTATGTAGCATTAAGACAGCTGACACTGTCCTTTCCTCCCTCTTCCCCACAACTACCTGTCAGGTGCTTTAAGCGGAGCACAGGTACCTGCCTCATGGCCAAGGGGGACCAGCAGCACCGCGCTGCAAGAGGCAACTTAGGGAGCACGGCTGGTGGCATTAGCTTGGACCGCGCTGCGAGAGGCAA